AATAAGTATTGATGATCACTAAAGATTAATTTATCCTCGTTTTCGGATATAATTTAACAATTTTTACGATATTATACTGGCGCGACGCGACCTCGCGCCGTCGCGTCTGATGCTTCAAGATACAAAAACAAAAACATTTCTAGATCTTCGACTATATTTTAGGCCGGCAACGGTAAAAAAAATGAAGGAAGAAAGTATCGATAATCCCGGTTAATTCAGTTTTCATCATCCTGGATAATCCAGGATAAACAAGAAATAAATTGAAGAAGTATGAAAGAAGGATTCGTTTTATAAACCCGAAAAACGAATGGCAAAAATAATTTTCATTCGATAATATCGAAGCAATTTATCATTTTTACGAAATTATCATCAAGATATTAAAATTTTAATTAATCGAACAAATCAACTTTCCGGATAATTAGAATTATTTAACGAACGATTTTTTCGGGGGGTTTGATATCTTCAATTACGTCATTCCTCGTTCGTTTTAATGCGATCATTTGAAGAAAAATTTGATTTATAATAAAGGAAGAAGAATGAAAAAAGAATAAGAAGAAGAAAAAAAATCGAAGTGCAGCAGCTTTTTTTTTATCTAAGAATTTCTGAAATCTTCAGCCTTATTGTAAGCCATTTACTTCATAACTTTCGCATCTGTCAGATGGAATCAAAATAAAGAAATACGACATCCTAAAGGAGTAAACGTGAAATAAAAGAGGCGAAGACCATCTATCAACATTTCCATTCCTCTAGATTTGTCCCTTTATGTACGTGAGAATATTAATGTTCCTTGTCTACATAACAAGCAGCTTGGTTAGATTTTCCGAACGATTATTTTAAATCCTTCTGTTTGATCGAGCAGTTGAATGAATTTCTTGAAAAATATATATATAAAAAAATTCTTTTATTATTATATATAAAACATTACTTTCCCCTATAAGCAAATTTTCATTGAATAAACGAAATAAATGATGTTTCTTAGCTCCAACAAAAATCTTCGCTTCGTCTCTCTCCCCTCTGACAAACTATTAATTTTATAAATTAAGAAGACTTTTCGCATACGCTGTTGATCCTAGATGCCATTCCTCTCGTTTCTTTTTCATAATGGTAACTCTATAACCTTGTTCGGATGAGTTTTTCCTCTTCTTTTCTTTGAAGTAAATTGGTTAAAAATGATGTTGCGTGTGACAAAAGTGCATTAATGTGTAGGTTACTTGGTTGCACTTTATTCAACCGAACGGGCTTATTTCTCTTTTATTCTCTACTCAATCTTAAGTTGAATGTTATCGGATTTTCGTATATTCTCCTTAGAAGATGAAACAATCAAAGAATAAAGGCATGTACTACTTAATATCAAAGGCGTGTAATTACAATATTAAGCGGCTATTAATAACAGTTTTATTCCTTTACCGACAGTAAAGTTTTAAAATTGAGCTTTAAAGCTGCAAAATCATTTGCTTAGCCATATATATATCCATTATTAAACATTATTTTTTTATAGAGTATACTTTTTGTGTTATGCATCGTCGCGCTAAATCGCGTGGCTTCGGGCATAATCCTCAACCCTTAATATTTTCAATTAAATATATAATTTATACAAAAAAAACGTTCAAATATATATCCAATATTTTATAATTTAAATGTGAAAAAAGATCGCGAAGTGTATGCAGTGTACTGCTTACGCGAGAAGCGACGCAGCAACGCGCCATGCGGCAAGCAACTGACTGAGAATACTAAAAGATGGCCTTCCATTTCCAGAGTAGGAAAAAAATAACAATTTGCTTGCACAATATCACTTCGGAAGAGAAGAGCCTAAAGGGTAAATTCCGTTAAAGACTAGTTCTCGAATCGCGTATAGAAAGCGAAATGGAAAGAGAAGACACAAATATTAATCTGGCATCTCCCATGTGCACGATTCTAGTACCAGAACTGGATTCTTGGGCCTATCAGAAGGTGCAAAAATCCCTGAAGGAAAAGACTACTTCCACATATTATGTGCTCCCAATAGAAAGAGTGGGATATACGAAGTAAGAGAGTTGACAGCAAACTAATCTATCTTGATTTAAATACAGCTTTTTATGTTTCGAACGTTCCTTATTCGTTCGAAAATATTTTCCTCTTTCTCTTAGTTATCCTTCCTTCCTTCCTTTTATTTTAATATTAAAAATCGCAGAATTATCCAAAATTAATCAAGTCTGAATAAATAATCTGTAAATCGCCTTTAGGATTATCGAAAAAATGTTTGCAACGTGCCAAGACTTTAGTTTGAGCACTTCAAACTATATATATAATCTATTTTGGACAATCCACTTATATAGAAATATAAGTAGGATATATTCGTACATATTTTTCTTCTGTCAATTTTTTTTATTATTATTATTTTCTGAAGAATTGTGCTTTTCGATATATTAGATTTTGAATAAACAAAAAGTATAGAAATAATATCCAGTTTGAGAAATAGTTTTTATCGGAGAAATATCCGTTTTATTCAAAAGATTTCTTTACAGTTTTATTTGTAAAACGTTTTAAAAATTAATTTAATTGAATTTTTTTAAAATAATTATCGAGATAGTGTATAAATTTCTAATTTTTTAACGATGGAAATGAGAAAAACTCTAAGAAAAAGATACTTGTATACAAAAAATACAGTAAATAATTTAATTTACAGCATACTTTAGAATGGTATTTTTAATATTAAAAAATGTAGAAAAGTTTAAATGCAAACATTTTAAAATTTATAAAAAAATAACAAAAGGAGCGACAAGATAATCCCATGTATTACTAAACGCAGCATGAAAGAAAACCAAACTCTTTTGAATATGTCAAGATTTCGTCAACTCTGACGAAAGAAAGGAATAAGAAAATAAAAAAGGACAGTCAACAGATGTGATTGTTTTGAATTTTAAATCGTGTTTTTCAAAAAAAAAACCTGGCTGAAATATTCCAACATTCATAGCAAAAGATATTTCTTGAGGGAGAAAAGAATGGTTTGAAAAATACTCTCAAGAGACAACCAAAAGAGACAGAACGCCTGAAATATAAGGCATACAATCTCAGCACAATGGTATACATTGCAATTTCGGGATTGAGATACTGAAGTATATAAGGTCCCAAGCGTGCTTCAAGTCTATTTTGTTGCTAGGAACGATATTTCCCATTAGATTCTGCGCATCTATCACAATTATTCGCTTCCGATATTGGATACGCGTTTAAACTGAAGCATACCTCGCTTAAGGAGGCCTCAGGCAAATTCCTATCAGGTAAAGCTTTGCTTTTTTTCTTTTTTTTTTGTATATTTACTTCAATACGGAGCGCTCACTTTTATCCCATCCGAGTGGGAAAGATCGTCGAGAGCCCTTCTGATAGAAGATTGGACGATGTTTTGTATCTTGCAAATCTCATTTTTGCATTATTTAATAAAATTTCTTCGGATAAATTCTTATAAATGAAGCATCCTTTCAATTACTGTAGTCGGTATCATTAATCAAACATTATCAACATCATAATGCGATTATTCTTTTCAGAAGAGAAGGAAAAACGTAACAACAGTGTTTACACGCCGTATACTTAAATTAGCATGAGCGAAAAAATAAATAAATAAAGATTTTTGAGATCAATGCAATCTGGTCTTGTATCTGTACAGTACAGCATTAATCAATCATCCGTGTGGAGACAACTGTGGCTTCTCTCTCTGCACAAGATTCCATTATCCTTAAGTGCGTACATAGCCTTCATTGAACAAACTTTGTCGGGATAAAAGATATTACACTTTCGAGCCTAATGAGTACAGCTAAATTCCTTTAAAATCACCGCAGAGTTTATAAAGTAAAATGTAATTTTGTAACAATTGTTACGCGTAATGGCGTAAATTACAATATGTCACAATGAGTAGTGAAAGAATTTTCTGCTGAATACGAAAATAGGAAACTGTTCGTTGGATCTAAAACACAACACAAATTATATTTATATTTTATGACAAAACACTATATTTCATGTTTAACATAAGTTTAAAACGTCACACTAGTGGAGTGTTTGTTAATGGCATGTAAACAATAGATGCGAGCTGATAAAGCACTGTATATTTTTATATTTAACATAATTAAAATACAGTACTACACTCACAGCTTGACATTTACTAATTTTATGTGTTTTTTTTTTATCATGAAAAAACAACAGCATTTAAATTCAAAAACCGTTGCGTCATAACGGAACATAAACACTAGTTTGTATGACGAATTCTCTTTATGTTTTTATTACAAACTGTTTTGTATTTATATTACCGTTATAAATTATACATTCTAAAACGACCAAAAAACTTAATAAATTTATATATTTTAGAATATAATTTTTAAACTTTTTTTTCATGGAAAAATTTAACTGAATATACAATCTTTATATATATTTCCACGTTTAGAAAAAAGGAGGAAGAAACAGCAGTTTGACTAGAGTACATAAATTCCTCTATGTTTCCCCAAGGATCAAAATATAACCATTTACTGAAGAATGAAAAAAAAAGAAGGGGGAAATAAAAAAAATGGTCTACCTTTCGGTAAAAGATCAATAAAACACGAAAGAGTATGCAAATTGTTGTATCTTTGGCGGAACGACCAGAAAGTAGTAGAGCACGTTTCTTATGTTACTAGATAGCATTCTGCAAGGGCACAAAACCGATTTAGTTTTATCGAACAAGAACAATTTTAAAAATCGTCGTTTGAACTTTAAAAAAAAAGGAAGAAAAATGCTGAAGGTAAGAATAGAGAATATAAGATCTTACAAAGCTATGCGCTTATCAAAAAATTAAGTCTTAGTTGCTCCATAGAAAAACAAGAGGACAATGTTATAAATAAATATATTTATATATATATAAAAGAGATAACACGCGAACCGAACATCAAAACCCGAAAAACAGAATCAATCAACGATAACAATGACCTATGAAATATGTAATATCATAAAAGATTCATTTAATAATATAGAATTTTACGGTATTATAAAGTACTTACCCCGCTACTTAAGCCGTTCTACGAGTATGAGTGGTATACAACGTCGCGAAACACAATGTCCACTATACCATTATGATTTCCTTAAATAGGTTGCTGATAGGTCGATCCTTTCCTCGATACGAAATAAGAATGTTTAAATGTTGAGGAAGGTTTTTTGTTACGTGCACAACACTAAACGATCGCTGCCATGACGGATTGAGGAAACGCAAGCTTACTCTATCGAGTCACTTCAACGACTGAACGGGAAACGTCGCGCGGTAGACCTTCTCTTCTATCCTCGATTCTGATTGGCTACAAGTGAACAATACTTGCGCCTCGCCGTCATGTCCGAAATTTCGATTTATTATTTTTTTTTTTTCTGACGGCTTTATCGCTCGATTATTAATTAGAACTGTAATTTTCTAATTTAAACTTTTTTCCTTTAGTTATATATGTAAATTTACGTTTTACATCACTTAAAATTGTATTTTAACTACTAGATAAACATTTGTCCCCCTAGCGGCGAGATGATATCGTAAAAATAAGAGAATAATTGCGTAATTAAGATAACAGTTATTATTTTCCCTTTTTAAAATTATACGATGCGTATTATACGTGTTATTCGCATAAGTTGCAAATATAAATATNACCACATTTCAACGTTAAAAAAAAATGTGAATTTGTAACTTAAATTTTCACATTTTAACAAATTTTTCGGTAAAATTCGACTTGAAATTCGGAAAAATAAATAGTTTTTAACTTAAATTTCAACTTAACATACAAATTTCATAATTATTGGGATAAAAAAAAAATACTTTTAAAAGGGAAAAAGTGTTTATCTTATTTAAATAAGCGAATAAATTTAAAATACATACTCAATTTTATAATATTTACATATAAATTTTTACGTTCAAATTTTCTTACATCAGGATGGAGAAGAGTAACAAGTTCCCACGTAAATTGAAGCGATTTCGTACGAGAAAAGGCAGGAAAAGTGCATCATTAAAAAAAGTCAAATATTTATTTATATTTTTAATTACATCCTCCGAAATACAAGGAGTGAAATAAGAATCCTAGCTTTGAGTTTTGAAACAATAGGTAGTTATATAGGCTATTTATTCGGTACAAAGACCACCTTCGAGTAGACTGCTTCACTAAACTCAGACGGAAAGTTGTCACGTCAATCGGTGTTTTGCGTGTCACTAAGACATTTCTCACGTCTCTCTTCTCCACCCCACTTTACTACCCTCCTCGAAAAAGTATCTAATTAAGATTATATGTCCCTTTACAGGAGCGCTTTCCAGAAATAAATTTTTGAAAAAGTCTCTCCTCCTTTTTATATACACACACAAAAATATAGAGCATATCTTTTAGAAGCTTCTCCGAAGAAAAATAAGGTATTTGAAAAATAAAAAAATCCTATTTTTCTGCAGGTTCCGGCCCGAGCAATAACCTCGCAGGAGTAACATCTGCTTCTATAAAACTTTCCAAGGGGAGGGAGGAAAGGAAAAAAAAAAAATTCCTAGCAGAAGAATGGTTGATATCAATTCAAACCACGACTTTTTTCTTGGAATATTTTCCTGAATAAGGTTCCAAAACGATTTAAAAGTTTGAATTCGAAGCCTTCCGACTCTAAATGGAACGTCCAAACCATATATCTTGACGTAATCATCATTCAGTATTCGTACGAAACTTTAAAAATTGCTTCAACACGCCAGTTTTTATTGTTATGGGTCAAACAAGACTGAGAAGTATACCAATTTTTCTTATATAATGATGCCAAAATTATTCACTTATTTATCTTCATCCTGCTGCTTTTATAAAATAATAAAATAAGAAAAAATTTAAGCAATTTCTGGTCCCATCTAAGAGCTTAGCTGAATAGAAACGATCGAACTTTAATGCAGTAGAAAGGGGAGAAAAGAACGACCAACAAAGGCAATTTTTAAGATTATTAATCAAAAATATGTTATAATTATTAGAGAAAGGAGCATTCTTCGTTTATCAGTAGATAAAATATTTAAAAAATCGTCTTAAACTCATACATTTTAACGTGGTACAAGCGCATTTCTGCATACTAAATGCGGCTTTAAGTCTTATGTAAGTCACGATTTTATCTGTTTCACAAGAGAAAGAATACTTTTATCATTATTTTCAGAAATCCTCCAACCTTTTTTAATTGTTTCCTTTGTGTGATTCTTATCAGAGAATTTAGAAATAATAAATAATAATAATAATAAAATTCGAGCCTGTAATTCTTAACTATCGTTAATTGTTCTTGTTCTATTTTATATTTAAAAAAAAAATAATAAATATATTATTTTCTGTTTATTTTTCTCTTTAAAAATAAGCCTTATCTTGTTCAATGAACGAAGGAGGGCAGATAAGAAAAAAGTGCCATAGGCTAAAACGTGTTGTGTAGCTACTGTAGCACCTGGCTTGGCGGCAGATGCAGGTGTAAGTGAGTAACGCGGTAGGAACGTGATTCAGGACGATAACATGATGATGAAGCTACCTTCAAAATCCTTATTTCGTGTATTGTTATCAGATTATAACGCTAACTTGATTGCAACTTGGAGAATTTTCCAGTTTCTTGCTTAATGAAGTCGCTCTTAACAGTTCTCCACAATAACTTCGATTTCTGGCCGTGCGAATTGAGACCATAATGATGACAGAAAATGCCCAAATTGGAAGTTAGGACCAAATATAACTATCGCTCCGCGCCGTGCCGCGTCGCTTGTAGTCAATCTTCATTGTTATCCAGAAACAATTTGTTTTTAAACGAGAATGGAAGAATGGATCTATTTGTCGCGTCTAAGTATCTTATGTTAATGATATAAATCTGCAAAAAACATGTTTGGCATGTTACCCGGACTCATTCAAAACGTACGGCATGTGTCGCGTCGCTCGGCGCGCCGTTCGCTCCATTAAAAAGATATCATCTTAAATATCAATCATATTTAAATCCTTAATTGAGAATAAGTATTGATGATCACTAAAGATTAATTTATCCTCGTTTTCGGATATAATTTAACAATTTTTACGATATTATACTGGCGCGACGCGACCTCGCGCCGTCGCGTCTGATGCTTCAAGATACAAAAACAAAAACATTTCTAGATCTTCGACTATATTTTAGGCCGGCAACGGTAAAAAAAATGAAGGAAGAAAGTATCGATAATCCCGGTTAATTCAGTTTTCATCATCCTGGATAATCCAGGATAAACAAGAAATAAATTGAAGAAGTATGAAAGAAGGATTCGTTTTATAAACCCGAAAAACGAATGGCAAAAATAATTTTCATTCGATAATATCGAAGCAATTTATCATTTTTACGAAATTATCATCAAGATATTAAAATTTTAATTAATCGAACAAATCAACTTTCCGGATAATTAGAATTATTTAACGAACGATTTTTTCGGGGGGTTTGATATCTTCAATTACGTCATTCCTCGTTCGTTTTAATGCGATCATTTGAAGAAAAATTTGATTTATAATAAAGGAAGAAGAATGAAAAAAGAATAAGAAGAAGAAAAAAAATCGAAGTGCAGCAGCTTTTTTTTTATCTAAGAATTTCTGAAATCTTCAGCCTTATTGTAAGCCATTTACTTCATAACTTTCGCATCTGTCAGATGGAATCAAAATAAAGAAATACGACATCCTAAAGGAGTAAACGTGAAATAAAAGAGGCGAAGACCATCTATCAACATTTCCATTCCTCTAGATTTGTCCCTTTATGTACGTGAGAATATTAATGTTCCTTGTCTACATAACAAGCAGCTTGGTTAGATTTTCCGAACGATTATTTTAAATCCTTCTGTTTGATCGAGCAGTTGAATGAATTTCTTGAAAAATATATATATAAAAAAATTCTTTTATTATTATATATAAAACATTACTTTCCCCTATAAGCAAATTTTCATTGAATAAACGAAATAAATGATGTTTCTTAGCTCCAACAAAAATCTTCGCTTCGTCTCTCTCCCCTCTGACAAACTATTAATTTTATAAATTAAGAAGACTTTTCGCATACGCTGTTGATCCTAGATGCCATTCCTCTCGTTTCTTTTTCATAATGGTAACTCTATAACCTTGTTCGGATGAGTTTTTCCTCTTCTTTTCTTTGAAGTAAATTGGTTAAAAATGATGTTGCGTGTGACAAAAGTGCATTAATGTGTAGGTTACTTGGTTGCACTTTATTCAACCGAACGGGCTTATTTCTCTTTTATTCTCTACTCAATCTTAAGTTGAATGTTATCGGATTTTCGTATATTCTCCTTAGAAGATGAAACAATCAAAGAATAAAGGCATGTACTACTTAATATCAAAGGCGTGTAATTACAATATTAAGCGGCTATTAATAACAGTTTTATTCCTTTACCGACAGTAAAGTTTTAAAATTGAGCTTTAAAGCTGCAAAATCATTTGCTTAGCCATATATATATCCATTATTAAACATTATTTTTTTATAGAGTATACTTTTTGTGTTATGCATCGTCGCGCTAAATCGCGTGGCTTCGGGCATAATCCTCAACCCTTAATATTTTCAATTAAATATATAATTTATACAAAAAAAACGTTCAAATATATATCCAATATTTTATAATTTAAATGTGAAAAAAGATCGCGAAGTGTATGCAGTGTACTGCTTACGCGAGAAGCGACGCAGCAACGCGCCATGCGGCAAGCAACTGACTGAGAATACTAAAAGATGGCCTTCCATTTCCAGAGTAGGAAAAAAATAACAATTTGCTTGCACAATATCACTTCGGAAGAGAAGAGCCTAAAGGGTAAATTCCGTTAAAGACTAGTTCTCGAATCGCGTATAGAAAGCGAAATGGAAAGAGAAGACACAAATATTAATCTGGCATCTCCCATGTGCACGATTCTAGTACCAGAACTGGATTCTTGGGCCTATCAGAAGGTGCAAAAATCCCTGAAGGAAAAGACTACTTCCACATATTATGTGCTCCCAATAGAAAGAGTGGGATATACGAAGTAAGAGAGTTGACAGCAAACTAATCTATCTTGATTTAAATACAGCTTTTTATGTTTCGAACGTTCCTTATTCGTTCGAAAATATTTTCCTCTTTCTCTTAGTTATCCTTCCTTCCTTCCTTTTATTTTAATATTAAAAATCGCAGAATTATCCAAAATTAATCAAGTCTGAATAAATAATCTGTAAATCGCCTTTAGGATTATCGAAAAAATGTTTGCAACGTGCCAAGACTTTAGTTTGAGCACTTCAAACTATATATATAATCTATTTTG